CCTCTCTGATTCCCTCTTTTTGGGTGAGTAGGATGTTGGCATTGGCTTTGCCTCAGATTTGCAGAGTCTGAGCCAGCCTGCTATACTGAGTGAAGCGTCACAACAACCTCCTAGGCAGAGAGGTGTCACATAGTGCCTTCCTAAAACGTGTTTCCAAAGCATTTTTCTCTGCTATACATGCTATAGGCTGTAGTATTAGGGGTATGTCAAGATCCTGAACTTGCAGTACTTAGAGGCCTTTATGAAGGCAGAACAGGCAGACTGAGGCTGGCCCTGCCCGAGGGACACTGTCCATTGTGCTGCTAACTGACCCTGCACCCTCTGCCTGGTATCATCCCCTCCAGGAATGGTGACCCAAAAGGCACAGGAGACCTGAGGTGACCCTTGGGAAGAGTCCTGTGTTAGGGGAAGCAATTCCTAGAGGGTTAAAAAGCACACGGAGGGCCAGGGATATAGCTCAGGGGCATGAGCATCTGCCTCCCAAGCACAAGATCCTGAGTTTGAGTCCCGATATAAAAAACTACAACACATGTAGGTAGCTCATAAACTAGCTAGTTATTTTCTTAGTTTATGCAGTCATATATTGTTTCTTTCCATAAAGGACTTGAAGTCCCACATAAGAATTATAGGAACAATGATAAAACAATGAAAATAAGGAGGAAAACTCAGGAAACAAGAAATACAAGAGTAGAAAGCAACACTGGGAGAAACCGTAAATATATAGGGCCACACAGCCAAGGTATTCCTAGAATGAAATTTGAATTTTATTCTGAGATTCTTGGTAGCCAAAGTAAAGTGGAAGATGTATTCTACACCAGGATTATCACTATCAGAGAAGTTACATACCAGGTTGCTTTTTAAAATGTGTTGTCTTTTAATTTGTACATTTTCTCTTTTTCAAATGTATTTAGTACATAGTCTACAGAGTCTCGCTACGCAGATCAGACTTGTAGTGATCCTTCCTGTTTTTCAGCCTCCCAAGACCTGGGATTACAGGCATGCATTTGCAGTCTGGGCATGCCCTGAGGGTGAGGCTGGACCACATGCCCAGGGATCAGGATCGAACCCTGGCCCCTGTGTCTGCCTAAGCAGGCACTTTAATCAGCTGAGCTACCTTGCTGGTCTGTACATTTTCTTTCTTTTTTTTGGCAGAACCGGGAGTTGAACTCAGGCCCTTGTGCTTGCCAGGCAAAGGCTTATTCTACTGAGCTGCCTCCCCGGTCCGTTACATTTTCATTTTAAGACAGATAGAGACTCACAAGAGTGGTAAGGATCATAAAAATTTCTCATACCCCTTTTCCTCAGCTTCTCCCAACAATAATGTCTTATGTAATCATCACCCATGAGCAAAACATTGCAGGATTTGACACTGTGCAACGCCATCGATTCAAATACAGATCTTAGTTGGAGTTTACTAGTTTTTATCTCTAACAATAATTTTTTAGTGATATGGATTTTAGAAAGAAGTTCGTAAGTGAATGACAGGTCCATAAGACAAAATCATGAACTTTCATCTGAGTTCAGGACTGTAGAAATAACAACGTCCAAAATGGACCCAGCTTCCCTGTTAAGCTTTAAGAAGGTAAGTGAGAGCCCTTATGGCAAGTGACAGTCTGCGGATTCTCCTACTGTCTCCCTCTGCCTCTCTGACCCTCCCAGCTTCTCTCCCTGTGCCTTCCCAAGCTTTCCCCTCCAATTCACCAGACTTTCAGTCTCTGCTGTGTCCCCAGAGAAGCACGAGCCTGCTCACAACCAGGTTCAGAGAGTCCTTTGTGCCGTCTCTATGTCCTTTGGGGCTGTGGGTAGTGACAAATCCAGGGACCCTGGGACTGAGACTGGTAACTCAGTGAATTCAGTGGTTATGAAAAAAACCCAACCTATCTTATTCTTTGGGCATCTGTTTTCTAAGGCAGGAAAGGAGTTTGGGACAGAGAAGCCCAGAGTTGGAATTTCTGCAGGGCCACTGAATAGAATCACCTTGGCTGTCCTCAGGGCTGGCCCCTTTATCAATCTGAGGCCACAGGGTGTGAGTCTCAGAGATAAGATAGATGGGAGTGTGTTTTCTTCGAGTGGTCAAAAGGACTTGGACTTTGAATCAGACGCATTTGAATCTTTACTGTGTCGCTTCCCAAGTTCCATTTGGTAGTAGGAGTTTCCTCCTTGGAGAACTAAGGACAATACTATTTATCCTTTGGGCCTGTTGTGAAAATTGAGGAATAATAGTGAGAACCCACAGACAAGGACCATTTTCTTGCCATCTTGTCTTTTAAGATGGAATTAATACAAATATAGTAGCAATGGTCATCTTGGTAAAGGATCACTAACCTCAGACAACGACAGCAGGCTGGGGAGATAGCCCAGGGGCACAAGTGTCTGCCTCACAAGCACAATGTGCAACTTCCTGTCCTGAGTTTGATCCCCACTACCCAAAAACAAAAATAAAAGCAAAAAAAAAAAAATCATAAAATACCACAGCGTGGGATCCCTGTGGACCTACTTCCACATTTACTTTCCCCCCTGTGCACCATGGGAATCCCTGACAGTGGCCACCTCAGAGCTTTTGTGAGGAATATGCCTGAGAAAGTGCTTAGCACAGTAGCTGGCAGGTGGCAGGGACTCACTCCTTCAATAAAGAAATTCTTATTCAGAGCTCTAGCTCTGGGGCTAGGGAGATAGCTCAGTGGTCTAAGCACCTGCCTGACAAGCACAAGGACCCAGGTTTGATCCCTGGTACTTCATGCTGTATTGGCCCCAGAACCCCGGGAGTGCCGTGCCAGCCCCAAAACTGGGCATGGTGGTGTATGCCTATAATTCTAGTGCTGGGGAGGCTGAGACAAGAGGATCACTAGGAGTCCAACTGTGTAGTGATACCCTGTACCAAATAAACAGATAAATCAATCAAGTAATCAGTCTCTGTAAAAACAGACTTCCTTACACATCCCCCAGAGAGAGGAGAGCATCCTGCTTTGCCAAATAGCTGGGGACCAGGGTACCCAACCTCTCTTCAGCCTCTTGAAATATTCCCTGCAGGGGAAGAGTCTGGCCTGGTAGTTCAGGTTGTGGCTGCTGGAACTCCGCCACTTACTAGCTGTGCAATGAGCTGGCCGAGTCGCTTGGCTCATGGGTACCTTGGTTTCCTCGGGATGGGAGGAACGCTCACTTTCTAGGGCTACTTGGGAAGGTAAAACAGCACTTACAAGGCATTAGGAAAAGCACTGTGTTTGCTGCTGTTATTAACAGATAAATAGACCATTACTATAACAGGCACTTCGGAGGCCCTTCCAGCCTTGAAATTTGGTGTTCTCCAGTGTTTGGGGTTCCTATCTGGTAGATGGAAAATCAGGAGAGCACTTGTTTCAAAGAGCATTTCATAGACTCCTCTGGAACCTGAATTTCCTGGGACTTACGAAGAGATATAATTGTGTTTTCACAACGAGAGAAAAGCTGGTGGCTGATGACTGGAGTATGGCTGGGACAAACTCCACAGAGAGCCAAGGGCTTTTCAGGGCCAGGTATGTTCTTGAAAGCTCTCAGGAAGCAGAGGGGGGGACAGATCTCCATGCTGTGGAGGTGGCCCTCCTGCAGCAGCTCAGGGACAACCTTGCCCCTCTCAGGGCAGGAAGCTCGTACAGCCTTCAGACACAGGCTGCTGTGGGCCACCTCTCGAGGCAAATGCAGAACCCCTGGGAAACCAGAGCTGAAAATAGCCATGGAATAATCTGATGTTATCAGGGGAGGACCAGGGTGGCCTGGAGTAAACTGGGCCTGCAGCTGCTGGGCCTGCAGCTGTGAGACAGCTTGTTACTCTGGATATGGCTCTGCAGTGCGCAGCTAAACACTATAAACAGAAGGCTGGCAAGGCCTTGGGTCTTGGGGCCACTAGATGCTCTTAGGAGAAGCCAACAGCCGGGAATTGAATACTTATTTCCAGAAGGCAGAGCAACTGAGAGAGGAAGGCTTGTGTGGTTGGGACCATGTGGCTCCCAGACACTCAGTGGAGCGGGATCCTGGATGTGTATTCAGGCTCGTGGTTATC